AAACTTAAGAGCTGACTCTTATGGAAGAGTCTTCTAGAAAGGTTAGCATTTCCGATTATATTCTACACGTTTTTTCTTTAAGTATCCTGCAAATATTAACTGTGCCTAATGGAGCAGAATAATGTCACTTTCAGAAAAGTGAACCTGCTCAAACTTTTTATAGTCTGACTAACCTTCCAAAAATCAGCACTGGAGCAGGAAAATCTGCCTAGTGTAATTCCATCTCCAAACTCCCATTCCTATAGAGTATCCTTCAGGACAGTGTTTCTTAAACTTTTTAAGACCGAGAAACACCAAACACTAATTTTTTTTATGCGGAACACCAAGCATTTTTTTGTTGAGGGGGGAGGGAGGGAATCAGAGGGAAAGTTGAGGGGAAAAAAGGGTTGTCTGCCCCTTTAAGGGTGGCCATTTTGAACTCTGTTGTTCTCTGTGTCACACCTCCAACTGCCTCGTGGCATACTGGTGTGCCTCGGAATATAGTTTAAGAAACGCTGCTTTAGGAAGAAGTGACAGCCAACCTTCAACAACTTTTGCTAAAATCCCAGATGTTTCCTGGTTGGGCTCCAGATTTTAAATATAAATATGTATTTTGTGCTATAGCTAGCTAGACATAGATCTAAATTAATTATTCTATTTTTATGTTGTACCCATTGTCTATTGTAATCTGTTCCATTGAAGTGCTTCTAATACACTACTCGCTCTGTTGTCTGTTTACCTGTTTGTTTATTATTCCTGAACTTGTAAGTTCTTTGGTGGAGAATGATCCTTCTTTTCTATTTGGAAAGCACTAAGAAGAGGGCACTAAAATAATAATAATAATAACAATTAAATAATCATTCTCTGTTACATCCTGAGTGATTTCTGTAGAAACCTCTTAAGTTTCTCAAGAACCCTGTTGGTTTTTTCCCAGTTAAACTCTATAGGACTTCTCCAGAAGGGGAATATATTTTTAAGGTGGCTTTTGGATTGTTTTTAAGCATGCAAAAACTAATTCAGTTATATAAACATTTAATAAACACTCATTGTTTCTAAAGTGTGTGCATATAGGGTGGAGGATTGGTGGTTTTATAGGTTGTCTTCAGTTCTGTAGTACTGCATAAAACATTCCTTTTCCTTTTATGTTGCACTGTGTATTGTCTTAAATTCTTCTGGTAAGGTAAGTGTGGGGAGGTTTTTTTGCCAGTCCTTCAGCTGTGCTTGGAGTCAATACATTTTGGTATTTTGATAAGCTGTAGTTTGCACTTTCCCTTAGTAAACTCTCTACTGATTTAATCCTCTAGCTCTGGTGTCTTTTGTATTCACCTGATTTTATTACAACTAAAAATAGTTCATTTCTTTATACTTATGTATTTTCTTTTGTTTTTCTTAGTCCAAAGAGTCCTCATCTGTGCTTAGCTGTGATATCTCTGTGGATGACAAATACATTGTCACTGGCTCTGGGGACAAGAAAGCTACAGTCTATGAAGTTATTTATTAGAGACAAAGCTGAATGGAAACAGGACTCTTCCTCGTAGCACTTTGCTGTATATTCCTTTTTTTTCCCATTCCCAAACTGAGGACTTACAATGCTCATCACAGTTGTGGAATTGGTTTTTTTTCCCTCCCCTCCCATCTAACTTGCTATTAAATTGTGAATGCTCATTAAGAACTTGTGATACCAAACTTTAGATATCTACGTAGAAGAAGAGGGGATAAGACACTTAACATTGAACTGATTCTCTAATGATGTATTATAGCTGTAATGTATTTATTTTGTTTAAAGAAGACTTTCTAACAATGAACTGACTAAATAAAGCTGTCTGCCCCTGCCTTGGTTTGAAAGGTGCGTTGTATATTTTGTGAGGTTTTGCTGGTGGGTGGAAAGGAGGAGGGGTGGGAATGCAGAAGTGACAAGTGCATTAAATAGAATGATAGCTTATATGAATTTTTTGACTACTTATCTTGCTCCTGTTGAGACCTCTTAAGTATTACTGTAATATAAATAATTATTGTGGGAGGAGATTTTTGTAACTGAACTCTTTTAAACCAGTTTGAAAAATCTAGAAGAATAATTGCAAATGGAAACCAATATTTGTATGTATGTGTGTATAATAAATAAGTGTGTGTGAGTGCGCGCGTGCGTGTGTGTGTATTATGTGCCTTTGATATTTTTCCTGTGATTTTTTTGGGCTAGTTTAGTTCATATCTGAATTAAATAAATTGTTGGGAAAAATATACCAAAAATAAGGTTCCTTTTTTATGTATATAATAATCTGCTGTTATGTAGTGTTTTGTAAATAGATTTGTTTTCAATGCTTCTGGCGAAGGTAAATGTCCTCTGTGTTGATCCTGGCTTTTTAATATAATATCTCTTTGTTGTATTGCAGAGAGAAGTACAGTAGCTTGCCTCAGAGAGCCACCTTTATCTTTTCTGGATGTTTTTGCCACATTTCTTTGAGAAGGAAGATGTGCATCTTTCAGCAATTTTGCAGTTACAAGAGATTACAGAAAATATTTGCTATATTCATTGGAAACTGCACTGAAATAAGAATGGATTCCTACCAATGTACAGACTACAAAAGCAAGAACCTCAGAGGTAGGGGTTTACAAGAGCACTCATACTGAAGTTCAGAAAAGAATGGATTCTCACTTGGGAGAAGGACTTGCTTTATTTGCCACAGTTCTATCCAAGTCCTAGTTGGATGTCCCTGAAATGGACAGGCTGTGCCATTGTTCCAGAGACATTGTGATATCTTTTTATGTTGTTGTTGCTGTTAAACTATGATCTGTGACTTTTTTTTTTGAATGCTTTAAAAAAATCTTTAAGTCTGTGGATCTGCTGATGTACAGTGCCTTTGCTGCTATGGATCAAAATCAAAAGAACGGTGTAGATAAATCTTATTGTATAAGTAGAAAATTACATAATTTCATACTAGAAATGGATTGATGCTGCAAGTTTGAAATGGACTGTTCATTGAAGTTCCAAATGTGGTAGCAAAAAATAGTGTCTTAAGTGCTTAGTGTTTGATGTCATTAACAGTTTCGTAATACTCTACAGTGTAGAAAGATTTTGATACTAAACTGTGTCATTGTACATAGTTCTAATGCATTGTATTGACCACCAGTACTTCTATAATGGTAGATTATTGTTTGTGCATTCAGACTTTTAAGCATTAAACATAAGTAACTTCTATGATGTTTATTTCTCTATTTTTTTCCCCTTTGTGAATTTGCATACCTCAGTATTGTGGTCAGATTTCAGTTTGGTCAAAGGAGAGTAGGCATCTGAAGAAAAGATTCTAAATTGCACAACACACCACTATAAAGTTTTTTGGAAAAAACAACAACAATGTATTTGTAAAATATGCTTCCCACCAATTGTCAGGTTTCATAGGAAACTTTAACTGAAAATTGCTATAATTATAATACTGTAATGGGTCTGAAGCCTTTTAAAGTTTGATACCACGCTAAGAGCTCAGCTGTATCATTCAGAGAATAGTAGTTCCTCTTGTTCATTTTCTAATATGCGGTGGAATGCTGTTTCCTCCACACCTCAGTGAGTGTTAAGTTTGGAATGGTCTGTTTCCATGTCTTCTGATAGCATGTACAGCTGAATGGAAGGTGGAAAGCAATGGTGCACTGAGTTTAGCATGTAGGCTCCATCACAGAGGAACTGGTTCAAAACTCATTGACTTCGTTGGGCTTTGGATCAAGCCCTAAGAGCTCAAGCTGACTTTCATTTAATCAACAGAAAAACCATCATTTATTTCTGTGAGCCCTAAGCTAGGAAAGGGAACTTAGCTCACCAAGCACAAGTATGAAGGGTACTGATATGGGAGCCTGCGATTGCAAACCATTTTTTTACTGGTATTTTAAAAACAAACACATTACCCATTTGAGTCACTACTAGTATTGTGAGTGAGTTTGTGAGGAAAAAAGGAGGGTGATAGACTAACTTCTTTGAGTGATAGTCCCAATTGCACTGAACTAAGGGTTAATGCAGGCCCACCGTGCATCCAAAGCCTGAGAATTTGAAAGAACCTTTCTAGTCCGGCATCCTTGAGATCTGACCAGAGAATTTGGTGAACCATGGGAGGTAGATATTTTCTAGCAGCATTACCAACTTTTCCACTGCTTACTTGGCACTTAGAAGACACAGCACAGAACACTGAGAACCAGGACTGCTGGCTGTAAAGAAACTTCATGGGACTACAGGAAACTTGGCCACCCCTATGATAAGTGGACATCTGACTAACTAAAATCGTGCTAGACTAGAAAGGTTTGATCTGTAGTAATGTCTGTTTGTCTGCACATGTGCCCTTGCCTCACCTTATGGTTTCATCTGACGTGACAGGAACAGGGAGGACTGAATTAATTTCCAGCTCCTCACCACAACATGGTCTGAGCTGGAGCTACCAGTGTCCTGTCACGTATAAAGCACCTGTAAAAGGTCAGCATTGTAAATAATTATATTTTCTTGTAATGCTTGCTATTTTTACTGCTTTAACATGGGTTTTGGTTTTAAGTAATATTTTTAGTAAAACTGAAATTTGGGGAGAATTTGTTTACCAGTTACTCCCTCACTTCCACCTTCATACTCAGGTGCAGATACTATACTATGCTAAAGATATCAGGATTTAAAATCTGCACCTCTTGCCTACATTGCTTCGTGATCAGTGACAGATATCGATGCTGCCTCTACTGCTAGAGAGAAACAGACATTTTATCTAGATGCTGTATCTGTTAGTCCTTCCTGTGCCATACTCAAGGAAGCTGCATTCTCTGCCTTAAGAAGCACCTCACAGAAGTTGCCATGAGGCCTCGATTGGTCTCAGGCCAAAAATCCCCCAGTTGGGAGTGCATCTCTGGATTTGGAGATGCAGTTTGACTCTGGCATTACTACCTTTATGGACCTTGTGTTGGGGCCGCCTTGGGAGGCAAGGAAGCAGGCATGTAAGCATAGCAAGAAGTCTTTCTCCAATCAAAGCAAAATCACCTGTAAAGGGCGGCAGACTATCTTCAGATCCCCCTGGAGGAAGTACAAGACAAACCACATCAGCTCCTGGTCATCCTTCATTCCTTGGTACCAAATAGGTTTGCACTATCAGTCACTGAAACCATTCTCTAGCCAGCTCAGTTTGTCATACCCCAACCATGTGAACACCTACCCCCAAGGGAACAAAAAAGAGATACCATGTACCAGCAAAGAAATCAGAGTTTCATTTCTCTCCCACACATCTTGGCAATTCCCTCACGATGCAAACAGCAACTGGACAGTCCAGAGAGCAACACCCATGCTCCACCCCAGCTGATAAAGAGGGCAAGTGATTGGATCTTCTGGGACACAAGATCTTCTAGTCAGCTAGCCTCCAGTTCCAAAATTTCTAATTGCCATGCCCCGTTGGCCAAATATGACTCCCTCGACTATGGCAAACTGGAGGACTCTTCTGAAAAGCTGCCTCAGCAAGATCAAGCCCAGATACAGTCTGGTGTTGAGGACAGTGCTTCAGTCTGCTGTAGATGCAGAAGATTGATGCTTGTGCTCATCATGCTTGATGGCTACGGGCATCGTCATTTGGAGGGAATCATGGCTTCGTTCCCCAGGGAAGTGCACAATATCAGCTAGGACCTCTCTTTTGATTAACTAGAAAACCAATGATTCCCTGTACACCTTAAAGGATTCAAGAGCCACACTTAGATTGCTGTGTATCTGTACACCTGCACCCAAGCAGAATATCTACCAGTTCAGGAACAATGATTCAAGAATCTCCAAATGTTCCACCAAAGGGAATACAAACCACCATACAAGCACCAGAAGAGCCAACAATCCCACCTCCAAGCCCACCTTCACAGCCTTATCATACACACAACCCTTTCAGAAAAGATATCTCTGGGTCTGTCTAAACTACACTCCTCTGCCGACAGAGGGATGTAGATTAGGAACATCGCTATTGCAAATGAAGCGGGGATTTAAATATCCCACACTTCATTTGAATAAAAATGGCAGCTGCTTTTTGCTGCCGCAGCACTTTGATCCCCTAGACGGGGATCAGTCGACAAGGAAAGCCTTTTCTGACCGATCCTGTAAACCTTGTTGCACAAGGGAAGTTTATTGCTCAAGTACAATCACATCTTTGAAAGCAGGTTCTCAACTACTTATTAGAGCAGGGCTTGACAGAGATAAACATGATGTAGACATTTTCTGGTTGTTACTTTAATCTGAACATACATACTAGGAATAGGATATACCTATTATTTTCAGAACCATTCAGTAATTTGAAAGGCTGGCTTATTTTATACTTAAGGAAAGGAAACCTTCAACTTACTGTGCCAAGAGTACCCAAAAAGCATATTTTTGTATATTATTAGAGGCATGAGAGGCTGTTTTCACCCTTCCTCTCACCCCAAACACAAAGCCTTTCATTCTTTAATAAATAACTAAAGGTTTCAGCTCACCCTCCCGCATTTCTGAAACATAAGTTTTAACTTTATGGTGATATTCTTCAAAACATTATACAATAGCTCTCTATAGCGTTGTTTGTACTGAGGCTCTTTCAATATTTCACAGAATCAAATGTATTCAAACCAGGATTGTTTCAATTAAATGTACAGTTATCCTGATTTCCCCCTACTACTACCTCAGTATTCAATGCAAATAAAAAAGTAACCTAGGTCGTCTTTTTTTTTTAAGGTAAAGCATTCTTTATTTTTGATGTTACTGCTCAGTTGCTTCTTTTCCTCTGTTAGAATCTGTTGCTGTCATATGGTTTTTTTAGTACTGTAGGTTATGAGCTCATGATTTGTTTGTTCATAATTAATAATTAACCTTTAATTTCCTTTTATTAGTTTTCTCCTCCACTACCACTTCTGTCATTATTTGATGCAGTGATATGTTAGACAGGCCATCAACATGAAGTGTATGAACACGGTAGCCAAGTGTAGGAGATGCATTAAGTCTAAATCTCTATTTTAAAGGCTTACACATTTCTAAACATATGACTACATTTGAAATTATATTTCTATTTTGTTCTTAGCCTTAAGGTGATTCTTTTGTCTTTCCTTTTTTATTTTCTTTTTTTAAATAATTGAAGAGTGAGAAATCGGCAAAAACCTCATTTGTTTTTAACTAGGCATTTTTTCTACTGTGATAGTACAGCCTGCACATGAAAGTATGTGATTTTTCCTCATTGCCCAAATTTTAACAGGTGTTGTGTTCCACATGATAAAAACCCACTCACAACTATGTGGCCATATATATCTAAAGCATCACACACAACCGTAACCTAGATCCTCAGCTGATACAAATGGTATAGCTCTGTTGAAGTAATGAAGCTACACAAATTCATCCCATCTACCA